GATTGATGTCCACTTTTTGTGTCATCTTCAATACTCTTAATTTAAAGTTGAATTTAAATTATTTACTAATTTATTCTTGATCAATTCAATTTTACCTTTGCTTATTGTTTGTATGTTGCTATTTTAAAGTTTAGAATTGCTTCTCATGGTTTGAAGAACTTCAAGTTCCTCATCAATCTTTTTAAATACAATAGATTGTATTATTATTATTATTACAATCTAGTTTGTATTTTCAACAATTCTTTTCTAGGTAAAGCATTCACTAAAGCTTTCTAAGAATCAAATATTTCTATAACTTTAATACCATGTTGGAAACATCTTATATTATTATATGATCAATTCTCATATAATATATTGTATATACAACTCTTGGTGTAAAATCACAATTAAGTAGGTAATATTCTATACTAAAGTCTAGTGTACTATATTGAATATTTCTTCCAATATAGGTGCCTCAACTATGGTGTCGAGGAAAGCTCCTGCTACCTTAGTGACAATGTGGGAGCCATTACATGTAGTAATGTGCTTTTGACCTTATTCCACCCAAAGCATGAATTGTATCATCAAAATGCACTGCCTAGATTTATAAACAATCCAACAGCAACAATCTCTGTGATTCCACATAGCCAATATACACACATAGTAAAACACATAAACCCTCTTGAAATATGAATCCAGCTGCAATACACCCTTGCAATTGATGATCCATACCTAGATCACAGAGAGACGGTGGTTGATCCTGGAGGTGGAAGCCTTGGACAAGCCTTAAGAGGCAAAGAAAACAGAGATGAGAGACAAGGTACAATCATGATTTAGACAAATGGATCAATTTGACATTCTTCTTTATATATATATATATATATATATATCAATATTGAATTTTTAAGAGTCAAAATACTAGATTATAATGTACAAAAGAATTTCTTAGATATAATCTTATTCATTTCAGTTTTTGTATAATTTATTTTAGAATAAATTTATTATTTTCAATACTATCACTGTTGTATTTAAGCTACAAATATGATTGCATTTACGATCTAATAGCAATATTAACTATGATCACTGTTTTTCTTAATTCTAATATATTTTTTCAAATAATGCATGTATTCTATAGTGAGAATAGAATTTAATTTAGAGTTTTTATCTAAGTGGGTTATATAGTCAACAGCATCGAACAACATTGATTTTACTTATTATTTGTTCAAGTGACATACATTTGCACTGAATTAGCTTGAAAGGTTAAATGATGCAAATTTTTTTACTATTTCAACAAATCAAGGTCAAGACGAATGTTTCTTAATTGATAATACATAGTTTTATTTCTAATTTGATGAAAAAAAGGTGTTGGCCACATGTAAAATTTCATATAATTTGATAAACAATAGTACAAATACAGAAATAAATATCCAGAAAAAAAGAATTATTACCCTGGATTTCTAATCTTATATGTGTTTGTTACACTTAGTATGCTAATGATTCCAACACAAATCCACCAGAATTTTGGATAACAGAATTATATGATAGCATTCTATTTTTGGGATTAACGCCATGGCTGTGAGAAATTTTCTTGCATTATAAGTTCCTATATCTTTACGTGTTGTTTATTCTTATCCAATTTTATACAACCTTTTCATTATCTAAAAAATAACCATGAGATCCAGAATATACCAGGCATAGACTTAATCAAAATGCACTAACAAAGAACATCATCAGAGTGCACCCGATATATATATATATATATATATATATATTAGAAACAATGAAGCTCCCCAAAAGGCTTGTCATGCGAGGCATTTAGATTGAACAGGAAAGAAAGCTTCATAGAGGAAGACTCAAAGAAAGACACGAGAAAGCGCTTGTGGGATCAGAATCAGATATGGAACTCAGCAGTGAATCTATGCATAGAAGGGTGAGGACTAAGCAGTTCTACACATTAGGTGAAGAATGGCAGCGCCATTGGTCTGCTTATGACAAAAGTAAATGAGAATTAGTGTGTGTATTAGGCAAGTGGATTGAATGGATAGGCCTGGACATGATCTGCTCCAATATGATCATAGCATGAGCTGGGCGTTAATGCTGGAGCGTTATTGGAATCGGCGATTGTTTATGTAATAGTGAAGGTTTTGGTGGATAGAGGTGTGATGACAGATTGAGGTATAATTCTAAGAAAGCATGATAGTGCTTCCACCCCCGGGTGGTTTTCGGATTCCACCGACAGTGCTCCGAGCTCTGGGCTTGTCATCAGAGAAGATATCACTTCCAGACATCTCTCTTACCTTGGCCACGCTGCGCTGGTGGTGCTGAGGCAGCATCTCATCGCTTGGGTTGCTCCTGCCATAAAAGATGTTTCCAGACAACTCTGCGCTCTTCATCTCGTGCTTCCTCTGAGCAAACAGATCTGGATTTTCCTCTTGATGCTTGAATGCTAGTTGCGTCTTCTTCCCTGCAGGCTGAAAGCGATGGTCACGGGAGATCAACGTTACAAACGCAATTACTGACTAGAATTTATACCTCTGAATTGGATAACTAAGTTGTCAATTCTTACCTGAATTGAGTTAGCTCGCGGGCGCCCACCCTTACACAAGCGCGCGCCCGCTCACACATACACACACATATATGAAGCAACGCATCTGAGAACATTGTTCACATTTTCTACACATACAGTTTCTTTCTTACCTCCCGCAAGTGCGCCGGAAGTTTTCCAGCATCTGTAGGGGGCGGCCCAAAAATGTTATCTCCGGCCAATTCTCTCGCTTTCGCACTTGAGAAGTTTAGTCTGCCACTACCCGTGAGATCATTATGTATCTCATTCATAACATTAATTTCCCTCTGTTTAGCTGATTCAAGATCGCTCCGCCTTTTTGCTGATTCCAACTGATCGTCTGGATCATAATGGCTCCCTTGGCTCTCTCCTCTTGGAGACTGGAAATGGCACAGCAATAGAAACGGTGAAGACATATTCTGATTAATTGATTTGCTAATTTCTCGTTAATTTTAAGCGAGAGATTATCCGTTCAAACATATCCATACATGAATCAAAAACCTCGCCCAATTGAAATTGTATCTACATTATTATAATCGTTGTTGGTCCAGCCACGTCGAGGAAATTGATGTTCACGAGGGGACTGAATTGATGATCGTCCGGCTGGAGGAAGGTAATCGTAACTTGAATGTCCGAATATGTTGCTCCCGTTCAGCTCCTTCGCTTTTGCATCCGAAGTGGGTCGCCATTTAGATTCCTGTTATCCGCAGCAGGCATCTCCTGACCTTTTCATTCGTTAGTGACTGTTACCATAAACAATGACTGCTACAAACCAAGCCGTGATAGCACTCTATAAGCAAGATCTTGTTTGATTGCGGAAATATTTATTAGAACCTGAAAATTATTATCCTGTTGGCTTCCATAGAGTTCCTTATGTTTGGCATCTGACTGGATTCGGCTTCTTGATTCCTGTGGATCCACATTTACTGACTTCAAGTTGCTCAAGCTTCATATTTTATTAAAATATAACTTCATTCAAGAGAATCTCACGAATTCGTTTGCACTAATTTAAGCACCGTATGTTTTTAGTCAAACTGCTGGATTAATCCACAGCGATGTTTGCAAATAGCTTTAACATGAACCTCTGCTATCGTTGATGACTGTTGTCAAACCTTCACTCTCCACCATGTTCAGAACCCAGCAGAGTGATTTAGTCTAACGAATGTCGGATGTTAAACAGATACTTCGACTTTATTGGAAAATCGATCAGTGTAAAGAAACGAACAAATTTACAAGTAGAGAATTGAGCATTAATTACCTGGCCTTCTCCCCCAGGCGTCTTCTCAGTAGGAATTCCTCCATATCCAGTGTCCCCAATTTCAGATGGATCACAAGACTCACCAAAGATTCCACTGCCATACATCTCTCTTCTCTTCTCATCATAACCAGGCCGCCTGCAACCATACAACAATAGTCAAGCAGTTTTCATGGAAAGATTTTGCTGACACAACCTAAGAGATTATTATGTGCACAAAAGTTAAAAGTCTGTTGTGTATCACAAGCATGTATGAAAACCAGAGGATTTAGATATTCTGGTGGACATTTAATGCTGACTGTTATGGAAAGAGCTTAGATGCAATATAACTGCTCACCTTTTCAGCCCAGCGTCGTTCTCTTCAGCAAAGTTATATACCTGGACAGTACAGCAAAGAGTTATCTACGAAAAAATATGTACTGGAGCAAATTGTTTCTGAGAAAATTTTAAAAATGATAATTGTAGACACAGGCCCTCTAACAAGTTGGAATTCCAAATTTCCGTTGAAAAAATAGAGAAAGTGTCACTCAAGCTCATATCCTGCTTTCATGAAGTGAAGTCATCTGTAATGATCCTAGTTGAACTCCATTGATGCATCATTAGGATCTATTATGATCCTAGACTAAAAAAATTGAGCTCACATATACTGAACCTAGTTGGTAGCCGTTCAAAGAATGTGTTAGATTCTTGATCTTAATTACACGAGAATCACACGCGGAAGGAATAAGTGAAAATTGAAAAATCCCAGAAATAAAGCGGCAAGCGAGTTTAACAAGTTAGATCCGCAATACACTACGTAAATTATATATAAAAATAAATTAAATAATCCTCAAACACATGTGTTGACTCCGAAATTAGGGGTCATCTATCCCCTTCGAGAAACTAATGAGATTTTTTCAGATTATATTGTATTGATTAACCTCCTCATGTTGCCAAGTGAATTATAAGATCATACGAATAAATCTTAATTGGATGTAAGGTACACACCTGTTGATTGCGATGGATGGAGCGGTCGTTATTGCTTTCACAAAGGCCGGCAGAGGGACGAGAATCTGCGCTATTATGGTCGCTGTCAATGTTGTTCGTTGGAGGATTCATGTTACGCCGAGATGGTGGCGGTTCCGACCAGTTGGAGAGATTGATAGTGGAGACCCCTCCGGGAGGATTCATTCCGCTGCTACCCGGTTGTCCTTTCAGTTGCGGCATACTTGCTGAATCTTCTTTTGCTATCACTGTATCCCCGCAAATCGTAGAACTACACTAATTTGGGTTCACTTATCTTCACTTGGTCGCTATTCCTTTCATGAATCAGCTTGGAATTCGCCAACGTTTTCAATGGAAGCATAATAACTTGATTACGTAAATCACCTCGTCACAGGTCTATGGCAACAGCAGAGTAAAAAACTTTTAAGGGTCGAATTTGGACAAAAAGTCACTCAAACAACAATAAATCACACATTTATCAGATAGGTAAGCGCTCATCAAGAATATTCAAATTATTAAAAACATTATTAATGTAAAATACCAGCCACGTCAACACACAAGGCACAACGTTCAATCGCATTTTCACTCTCATTAAAATTGAAGCTCTCTTGGCAACCCAAAACAAACTCCGAGACCCCGACGAGGCAGAAACTGAAGGCGAGGGAAAAAGAGATCAGGAAGCCGGCAACTTACAAGACGACATGCACGCACAATGAAAGTTACTCTTCTCAACCGAAATCAAGGCCGACGCAGAGACATTAGAAAACCGCCATTAATCAGGCATAATCAGCAGTTCGGTTAATTTCAGTTTTCAGTTTCAGCATGAACGGCATGGCGCCACATCAGGAGTTACTCTCGCCTACTCGTCCACCTAATCACGATTAGTAATTACCTGGTGACTACTCTATCCACTACTTTGAATGGCAGTGTAGTACTGTGTCCGTTGCAACCGTAATATTCTCGTAACAAACCAGGAATGATCATAACCCCTGAAGTAATTTTTTCCTTAATTCTTGCGCTTTCATTACCCGGTGGTGTGAACTCAAATAACTCCATGCTAGTGTATAGCCAAACATTTATGTTTTGCTGAAACAATCATGATGAAGCTCACAAGACATACCTGAACTTGGGTCTTGCTCGGTTGGAGTTGGAAGAACAGTAGCACCCCCTACGTAACAGTGCATTGAAGAGACGTTCGCTGATAACTAGAATTAAGGACATCACAATAGGAAAGACGGCTATCACTGCGGTTATGATAGTTGAAACTACGGCCGCTCCTTTATCAGCAAATTAGGCAGAAGCAACATCATTTAATCTTATTTTTCAAGTGGATCGTTTAACAGTCAACGCAGGTTTAAACTTCTACCGAAGACAAGGTGATTGATATAACAGTAACAGAATCATGATAACCATCATCCTTCTGCTGACTTTGGCCACGCTAGACGTTCCTGTAGTTTCACTTATGGTCATGGGAAAAAACCGAGTCTACGTACCAACAATGCAACTCTTACTCCAAAACGGTGAACCATCAGTTGCCTCCGCATTCAACACGTCTGGTGCTAGGCATTTTCGCAGTCGCCAACATGTTAGTTTTAGTGATAACAGCATACATCTGCCTCGAGATTGATTCCCTGCAGTTCCCTGTTACCTGATGAAGACTACAGCCCTAACACAGGATCACAAAACCTAAACCTCAAAAGCAGAAAAGACAAATGAAAAAGAAATAATCAACCATGAAGCAACATCTGAGAGACCAACTCGACAGCTTCATATTCTTCACCAGGGGATCTGCACGTTAACGTACGATTTTTCATATTTCTATCAAAAATCTCGTTGCCTCGAAACGTTAGCTAACTAAAGCTAACAGTGAGGTGACAGAGAACTCGTGTCTACAATTCATATTCTCAGCATGAGGAAATTCCCTTTCGATCTAATCATTTAAAGCGAAAAAAAGAATCTTTGTATAAGGTAGAGCTTGGCAGAAGTAATATGACCAAGAATAGAAGGGTTGAATTGTACTCGGTGAAAACCAAATGAAAGTTCTCATATTCTCCAGCCACACGAAAGTGACCGCTAGACTTATCCTGTTATCTGTGAATGAAAACCTAATCAGGTCTCAAATATTGCAATTAAATCTGTGACAGCGGGCATCAGATGCTGGGCAGAAGAATGCCTCAATCAAGTTGGGCGTATAATTGAAAGGATCAAATATCTCGATGAATAATCGATATGAGATTATCACACTGAATAATGACGTGTCATGACCGCGATAGTGTACACCAACACGCCCATGCAATACGTGGAAAAAACCATGATGCAAAAGTAAGCATACGCTCGCCATTGCTTGGAACCTCGGCGAAGAGAGTGGACCTCAGTAGTAAAGGTGGAGACAGTACTCATGCACCCAAGCAACCCAACCTGTAGGCCTCTAGCCAGTAAAGAAGAATCTGGTGACTGCATCAAACATAACCGATTAAAAATCCATTTGATGTAGAGGTAATTCAGCTGTCACTAGATATCTGGACGCTTAAATAAAGAGGTACACATTCTTTTCAAGAAAGAAAGCCATAGTGATCTCACAACAATAAGATTCACATCCTACCTTGATCCTCAAAGCACATACACATGCAGTTACAGGTTCACAACTCTCCTAGGTAAACATACAAATTTTGTGATCACTGTTTTGCAGTCAATGCATACCACAAGAATCACCACGGCGAGCACAGCCTCCAAGGTAGATGCAATAAGATTGGTTAAAAGAGTTCCAATAGGCAACCACTTCAGATGGTGGTTTCTTCCAATTCCTTGTCCGTTTAGCCTGGCTAAAAGCCACCGTGACCACACACCCGGAGGACCCACCATACATGCTAGCCACAGACGCCTTCGTACGTAGGAATTGACATCTGTGACCGTGAGAACCAGACAAGCCGCCCACAAAATGATACTGATTGCCAGGAAGACCAGCATTCCAGCCTTCCGACGATGAAGAGTCTCAGGAGAAGAGTTCCAATGCTTTTGCCATCCTCTACGAATGCGGACTCTCTTTGGGTGCATGAGTCCCGATTTTAGGAATGTAGCAGAATCGATGCCTACCAGAAGAGACATTTGCGACATCTCCATACCTGCATCGACGAACAACAATTCCTAGAAGATTGAAGGCATTAGATGCTCTGAAAGATTTCAACCAAATGCTAGTATTAAAAAAAAGTTAAAAAAGTGTTCTCCAAAACTAGCTTCACAATGACCAGAGAGGCGTATGTAGATTTTACATTAAAATACTTACCGATAATCAAACTCACGATAGAGCGCACCCAAAATCCTTTGGTGACCAGGAAGATCATCGCTTGGTTCCATGAAGCATACGTTGTAATACTGCCCATGAGTCCAGTGGACAACCCAATTGCTAGTAATTCTGAGAAATTGGCAATTTCTTTTTTCAGAGAAACTCCAACCCAGCCCATAAAGAAACACCCAAGCTGCAAACCAAGAGTCCATTCAGTCAGTAAGGATTAGAAAAAGAAAAAAACTCTGAACACGAGTACAAGGACGAATCACCTAGCCTCCAGTAGTAGTTAAAAAAGTAGTTTACAAACCACTTAATAGTTCAGAAACGCAAAATTTATGCAGATAAAGTCAAGAGGCAAGATCCAAAATAACGAATTATTTTCGTGATGAAAATAAGTACTATGATTAATCACCATGTTGGCTGGTAAATCAATGAACAACGGAGAATTTTCTGACGTAACATTTGCAATCCCAGAGAAAAGCAACTCTAGTCCATGGCGGATGCAGACCTGCACAAATAACTTATCGTATCAAATTTGTATGAGCTCCATTTACATAATCTAATAATGGAATAAATCTTTTAGTACCGGATGTAAATAAGAGGGATTGTAAATTAGATTAATGATAATTTATGTCAAATCTTAATCCTTTACCTGCCCCCACATTTCATACACCGACAATGCCCTTATCACATACAGAGCTAGGAGTGTCTCTCAGCATTGCGATAGTATGTCACATTGATGGAAACTTGCACACAATGCCCAATGAAATCACTAGGATTAACTACCGTTCTCACCCCTAAGATGCCAAACGTAGTCAAATGAGCTAGTGCCGACACATATTCCAATGTTGGAGATAATCTTTCAGACTCCTCCTGAATAAAGAAAGTAAAGGAATCGTATGAGATGTGAATCTGAGATTCTTAGAATATGAGAGTTATAACCTATTTACTTGTAAATACTATAACTTAAAATAATGAAATGCTACAAAGAAGGCAAAATAAGAACTCCAGATTCAAATTGATCTAGATTACCACCTCAACATTGGTTGACTGCAACTCCCGACGTTCAAGTGGAAACGTATTTTGTGTACATGGCAAATCGAAGCAGATGATATCATCCTGAGATTCTCTCTTTTCAGCCGCAGATGCCGAAGCAGCAGTATCACTCGCATCTTCAGGTCCACTTCTGAACTGATACAGCTCAATGCCTGACTTCACTTCAGTGACCTCTATTTTCTGAGCACGCAAGATATCAAAATTCGGGATGGTAGCCTGGTTCTGCGACATGTCTGCCTGCACATAAACAGTCACTAGCTAAATTTGAAGTCCAGAAAATGTAAAGACCAGAGACGATGGCTACATGTGTAATGACTGCATATGAAACGGCGGATTGCCACCTAATTCAAATGCCATAGCTAGAACTCACATAAACAATGATTCTTTTAAATTGAAAACTATACGTTTTCTGACATACTCTTGAGAGAATCCCTGTAGTATGAAGAGAGACTAAAGAACGGAATGTGCCGTCTTCACAGGCGTAGGCTTAGCTTGTTGAAAGATCTCCTGATCTGTCATGATTCACGTAGGAAGAAAAAGAGTTAACATATTTAGAACAAGGATGCAGCAGAGATGACCAAGTGAAGCTTACGTGTGAGAAAATCAAAGTCTAGCTTAAAACAATCAAAGGTATTCAAACAAAGAGAGTAATTACAAGAAAACGGATTGCCACTGTATACTTCGGATAAAGTGCTTTTTGAACAAATGCTCAACAACGTTCAGAAAGAAAAATTTCTCTGCTGTACTTAATTGTGAATCGTTGAGGACCCTTGACATTCTGCTCTCCAAACAGTGCGATCCTTATTCTAGACCTCGATTTCTCATCACCTGATTCTACACATATTTTTGCAGAAGCCTCCAACAACACTTACCTTCAAAAGGCAAGAGCTCAGAACCTTAGATGCAGGTGAATCGCGTAAGGGTGAGTCAACGATGAAAACGCGATGCACTTGAACATACATGCCAAGAATGCCTGCGTTGCGCGACGTCGGGTAGCGACATGCACTGAGTCAGGGTCAACCGATCGGGTGATTCATCCCCGGTTCCTCCGACAACAAGCTCGGCCATAGCCCCCTCTAACCTCTGCAACAACCCGCTTCAACCTCTCGATGCACTAAAACAATAATCCTCTCATTACCGAAAAACCAATAGCCCTCACACAACATACCAGACACTTTTTTCCTGGTTGCAGCACGCCCGTAGTGAAGCGTCGTTAACGATATGCACGTGAAGCGAAGATAGAGGACGAAGCGTTTGTCAGCGTCACTAGTCCAGGCAGAGCAACTTTCTATCTGCTTGAGCTGTGCCGTGCCGAGCCAAGCTGGGCCAGGCTTCAGCAAAAGCTTTCCATAGCTGCTGCAACAGCACTAACGAACTACGAGGGAGTTCAGACGTTAGTTCCGAACCTATTCCCAAGGGTCGCCCCGGAGCCTCGAGCTTTTTGGTTCGGAACGTCAAAACAAGGTGCAGAATGTGCGCCCACATCTGTCAGGTTCCATGTTGGAACGGTCCGGGTCTCTGCGCCTGTCACCTTCTATCCTCCTCTACTATAATGTATTTGTGTGTCTCTTGAAGGCACTGTTTGGGGTCCTTCAATCTATCTGAGTAAAATAATTTTCATGAATCTATTGGGATGGTATCACAGATTAAAACTTGAGAACTGTGATTTTTCATTACTTTTTGTTACACTTCATAAAAAACAAAATTAGAAAAATAAAAAATATTGGTGAGATTTTGTGTGAATGTCACAAATATTACTTAAGGTGTGTAATACAAGAAAAGATTGAAATTGCTTTGGAAAAAAATCATTATAGAAACCGAAATAAAGTTTCCCTGAATTTTATGTATCAAATAAAGTACAGTTAGAAAATTAGGTAAATTTCTCCAAAGAAATTGTTTCATTTTTTTATATATTTTTAATTTTTCAGAAAAATAGTAAATTTATTAATATTTAATCTTTTGGATGTATGGTGAACCACGATCTGAGAAAAAATGTGCAAAAAAATAAATAAATAAATAAAAAACTCTGTAAAAACTTTGAATTAAACTAAGCCGCAACCACCAAGAGCTTTAAAGTAATAATAAGAATAATAATAATACTCATAATAATTCTTTAACATACAGATTTCATTTGAATCATCTAGATAAAAGCCAATTTAATATCAATTTCAAATTTTACAAGTCTATCAATAAAATATCAAAAGAAAATAGAATATTGAAAGTGCATGCAAGAAAAGTCAAATGTAATCGTAATCAGTTCATGTCTATATCATAATAAATATATTCTTATCTTAAAATGTTAGTACAATTATTTGACCTATAGACCATCTAAGAAGTTTTCTTTATTGAGCTTAAATTTTCGTATCTAATATTATAGATGACAAATATAAATAATTTGTGATACGTTGCATTTTATGTGTAGATAACACTGGCACCAAAAAAAACTGGTATTCTGTATTGATGATTTTTTATAAATACTTAGTTTTTAACATAAAATTCGACTTTTACAAAATGTGATTTGCATGGGCACTAAACCACTAAAGGATGGCATGTTGGTACCAAAACATTAGGCATTTCAATCTTAGCTAAGAATTTTCTTATCTTAATGGATGATAGCATTAAGATAGTAATAGAACTTTTCCCATTTACATATTAATCTGGTGAGATGAGAATTTTCTCTTCAACGTCTAGATTAAATATTTTTATTTTAGTTTTTTTATTATTTAAGTGCTAATAAGTCGTTCATTGAAAAATCTTTTTGATATACAATTTGTTTCTTTATTTGTACTACTTGCAAGTTAAGGCTTTAGCTGTATAATGCTAACGCTGACATGATTTTATTAGTTTTGTGCAGAAGGTGTTTTTTCATGAAAATAATGAACTTTACCTTTTATGGGCTTTTTACCACAGAAAAGGCATTAATTCCATTTGATCTACATTTGAAATTATCATGTGTTACTTTGCCTCAATGTTTTATATCATGTTCTTTGAGTTCACATACTTGCTTCTTACGTTTTATGTTGTGATCAATGCAAAAAATGCAATAGAGTACACAGTTGAGGCTTAAATGTGGACATAACATACACACTCCAGTAATAAGTTAATATGCAATGATAGTGATGGATTACATTATTTTGGAAAGCAAATCTTGAAGAAGTGAATAACATGATTATTTTATAATCTTTCCACAAAATTTTAAATTTAGTTATTATACAACTCATTAACTTATTATATATTAACATATTGCATACAAAAACAGTAAACATTAAAAGTAATAATAATCAATCTTAAACTTAACATCATGTCTTACTCCTGGTTTTTAAAATCACAATAATAATAAAGTAAAAAAGATGGATCTATCAACTTATAAAATTGATAACAAATGAATTCATAAACAATCCAAAATTTGTGCATATTCAAGCTAGTGGTGACAATGTCCACAAACTGTGGTTGATGCAACCCAAAAACATTGTTACAAACAACTAGCAATGTTGGGAGAGCCTCAATTATGTAATGAAATGAATAATTGGTTGCAGAGATTGTAATCTATTTCCGGATTGATTTAAATAATTTTGTGATAAATAAGTAATTACCATGAGAAAAAATCGTCTTCATAAAAATGTTTCAATCAATTTATTTTGGACATAAGGCGTTTTTGCAACATCATCTGAAAACATATATATATATATATATATATATATACATACTTACACATACTTTTCTATGTCAAGTTTTGAATTGCAAAATTGTTGGATCAATGTTGTGATATAGAGTTTGTTTAGTTGTATAATGTGGATTCAAAGAACTTATTGTCAAGAGATTGAGCATTTTTGGATTCAAATAACCATGGCCAAAGTATTGTTTTTGTTGCATTACTTACCTTTCTTCCTCATTTGTCTCTAATCTGGCTTTTGTATGGAATTGAGGAAGAATGAGATGTATCAAAAATCACCATTGGGATCACAAAACCCTATCCAAGTTAATTCATAACATCTCTGAAAGCTGTTTTGTCCTCTTGACAAAGCATGCTTCATTTGAGAAAGAATATATCCTATTGTATTCAGTGGGGGTCAAAGTCTGAAGTGTTGATTCAAGCACCAACAATTACTTTTAATTATTCCATTTAATAAAATTCTGTTCATCCAAGGACAATGTGGATTTGTGCTTTGAATGTTATCCATGGTTGATAGAGGTGATATTCTAATAAGCATAAAATGTAGTTGATATTATAGAAAATCTTTCATTTCGTTGTTCTAGATTCAAGATCAATACAATGTGTTTTCAAATCATTAATATCATGAGTATTGTTTAATTATATTTATAGATTTACAAAATTTTGAAATCTAAAATCATCAAATTTGGAAGACAATCTAGCACAAGAAGCAAGACCAAATTTAAGTACTAGAAGATTCTAAAATACGTAGAAGCAAGGTAGAGCAAAAAGAATGAAAAAGATGAGTCGAGTCCACTCATTTATTGAGTTTTAGAAAGTTTACATGTTATAAGTCATGAAGCCTCAAGTTTAGAAACTATATAAGATGTTTATATTTCCAAAATTTTAACTTTTAGAGTCTTCTAAACAAAACTTGATTATTCTTTGTAGAACTTGTTTTTAGAAGAAAAAAAAAATATATATTATTTATATAAAAAATATATAAGAATATTTATTTTTTTAGAATAATTAAATATTTTTAGATGTAGATTGGATCTATAGATGTTCATAGATATGCCACTTTGTTATTAAAAAATTTAAAAGAATTTTCCTATTTTTGAAGAATAATTTTAGAAGTATCTTATAAATTAGGTAATTTATCTAAAAGCCATATACTCCCAAGAAGCTTTCATTTGAATTTTTTATTAGTTAGTTTGGATTTTATTTAAAGTATATAAAAATTATTTTTTTATTTAATTTTTATTGGATTATTAGAATGGCTTATAAAGACTATATTTTCATTATAGATCTTTAATTGGTGAGATTACAATGGTATCTTCATGTAAATCAAGATACCAATAATAACATCAAGCTCTTATTGCCTTATAGATGCTCATAAATTTTAAATTAGTAGAAATAAATAGAAGTAAATAGAAACATATAGAAACATATTAAGAAGATAATATCCTCCATAAAAAACTTCAAGGTAGTCTTTTAGATGCTAATTAGATATTTAGACTTTTATAGATATACTATGTGGCTCTTAAAACTTGTCTTGTAAGATTTGTACTTTTTAGAAGTTATATTGGAAGCAACCTACAACTTAACACTTGGACAAGAAGCATTGCAATCTTAGGAAGCTTTCATAGAACCTTTTTAATAGGTAATATGTGTAGAAGCAATAATGAGGTCGTCCTCAATCTTATCAATATTCTTCTTGCATTTTGATCTTGATTCAAGTCTCCCTAGGTTCTTTATATTTGATTGTGTTATTCTAATTTCTTTCTATCTTATATCTATCAGTTATTTGTTTACTTTCTCTCTTTCAGTAAAATTAAATATATGCTGTCTTTTTAGAATTCTATTATAATTTATGTCCTTGACATGTTATTTATTAAAGATGTTATTAGGTAAATTTATAAGTAGATTGTTAAAATAAAATAATTTCTTGAATAATAATTTAGCATAGGACAACTCCTACATTATTTACTATGTGTATATGGACTAGCAAAAACATATTTTGTTTTTAGAAACAACAATGTGAGAAATAAAATAAAATAAAATAAATTATGTATATTCCAAGAACTTAAAGAATTTTTTAAAAACTTATTTCAAAATCAAATTTTTTACATGAATTTAAGAAGGTTATATTCCAAAGTCTTAAAAATCCCAAACTTTGATAATTAATTCTTTAATCTTTTATAAATAATCCTTACTGTTCTTTCAAAATATCAATAATTTTTCTAAACATCAAATTGCTATGATTATTTATTTTAAACATAATTATCTTAAAAGAATAAAAGCATGACAGTATAAATCATAAAATAATATTTAAAATCATGGTTTTATAAATTATAGTAAGGATTGGGATTTTAAGCAACAAATCCTATTACATACCTTTGGAAGTTGAAGTTGGATTTCTTCTCTTTTCTATCCAATTTGTATTTATAAAAATATAATGAGTTTTTTTTATGTCTAAGTCAAGCAAACAGAGCAAAAGAAATCATGTCATGTCTTAGTTTGGAGGTGCATTGTTCTGATTGTATTGTATTATATCATTTTTGTAAAATTTTGGTATGTTTGTTTATCTATTTATTTTGTTAGATGTATTTTAAAAAAAATAATATTGCCACTATTGCAATTATATATTTTTTTGACTCACTCTTTTAACTTAGATAGAAGTTTAATAAAATGATTGTAAATATAATAATTATATTGTTAGTATTTGTGCTCTGCATTGTTTTATTTTATTCTATTGTTAAAAAGATCATTTTAATAAATATAAAGGAAAAAAATGCTATTTTTCATATATAAAGTTTATTTATATTTCTATTGAAAGATCCCACCCTCACCCTCCCCAAGTGGAACAAATCAAAATTTCACGAAGCTGAATTTCGGTGACTTGCAATGTGATTTTTACATTCAAACTCGCTACACTCAGCAATGATCCCAACATCGTACTCCTTACCAGGACATCTCGCATATAGTGTCCTGTCTTAATGCTCTCAGTACTACCAAGTATCTGAAGTGTAATTTGAAGTCGGACAAGAGGACAACAAACCCAACAAAGCAATAAAGCAGCAAGCTTAAGTGCCGTTAGTGGTGAAGCTTTTGACTTTCGTGCCCGCTCCATACTTTTGGGAGGCGACGAATATTCAACAAAAGCTTGAAAGGATAGGATTCAATCCCTTCTCACGAATCTCATCTCAACTACATTCCACCACTCGCTGTTTTTACACCAGCCCTTACACTCGTTGCAACTCATCATCTGCATGCATACTCCCCACTTGCAACATTCACGTCTTCCGTCACACAATACACTCACATGCCACACCACCACCCACAACATCAATCTCATTCAAAACCACGCCCTCACCACCAATCCACACCTTCTCGTGTGCAACGCATGCTTGTATTTGCAACCGTTCCGATTGTACACCTTCTCCACCCTAAGCCGACGCAATCTCTACCTCACCATCATCAATCTCTGCTTGCAGGTCCTTCGGGTCTTTGCCGTCCACACTGCACCCTACTGACACACATGTTCCCAAAATTTCCTTCACCGTGCCTGCCAACTCCTTCGCCATCGACCTCGGTGCCATGATCTTCGCGATCTCGATCACATCATCCAGAGAGATGTTGCCGTTGTGCTTGATGTTCTTCACCTTCTTCCTGTCGCGCTCGGGCTCCTTCAGAGCCTTGATCACCAGAGCGGCAGCGCTCGGCACAACAGCTACCTTAGCCTGTCATTCACTCCAACCACGCCTGTCAGTGCCTCATCTCCTTCTCGACATCGGAATCCCGTGCCTCCACCCTCAGCTGCCCGGAACACGCCACAATGCCATAACTCCACACCTCTTATCTCCAACACAAATCAGCCAAGTCGACCAGAATGACCTAATCGGACCCTGCACACTCCTCCCATTCCAACATACCTGTCGGTTCTGCACCGTAAGCTTCACTGTCACTCTCAAACCCTTCCAGTCCCTCGCCGTTTCCTTGGCGATATCTTCTCCGACCTTCTTTGGAGACAACCCGAGGGGTCCGATCTTCGGCGCAAGCGACGAGGCGGCACCCACTTCTCCTCCTGCGACAGACCCATAACGTCCAACATTCATAAAATCCTCTCCTCCATCATCGTACTGAATCAAACCAGACTTCCAATTCAAGCGCGACCCCCGAAAGTCGAAAATCTACTACATTAGAAGTAAATAACCGTGGCCTATTCACGATTCAGCGTGGACGCTCAGGGAATACAAACTGTAACTAGACGCGCATCCAGAACCAACAGGTTGCTGTTACTTCATTTAAAGCTCATCTTTGCGTCCACACAAAAATCTCTGGCCTCAAACTAATCTACAGGAGAATTTGCACAAATACCCAAACATCACCTATATGAGGTCCAAGAATACAGACTTCTCCCGGGCTGCATGCATCAGATACAAAAACCCTAAAACTCCAATGGCAATAAGACGGACGCACATTATTGCACTATATGCGCATGAACAGTGAAGCACAATCTCTGAAGCGTCAATGAATGCATGGACATAGCCAAAAACTGGAAATGCACAAATATTAGAATTGCTGAAATTCTGGGAAGGAGAGTTCAAACCTGTGACGCGCACATAGACCTCGACGATTTGGGAGGGGTCCAACTTGGGAGGCATGGTGGCAGGATGAGGTGAGGAGAGTTAGAAAAGAGGAAGTCTGTGGCAGCAGCGAGACAGCAACAAACGTCCTTGCGGTAAAAAGACATCCTCCGGAGTTGCATCTCCTTTTTAGGGTTTATCCTTGAAACCCTAATTTGTTAGATGATGAGGAACGAACGGAAATGTCGATGGATGAGGTTACTTGTTTTAGCTGTTCTCTCCCCGCAGTATTATCCATGGATGGATGGATGGATGGATACATGTGTGTGCGTTGTGTTATTGTACAAATGTATCAGGATTCTTTGTATCGTATAGAGTTAAATTATACATTAAAATTAACTGAAAAATCAACCGCTTTGTGATTCTTTTTATAAATAGTTACATATTTTGGTTAGTGAAACGAGCAATTAAGATTTATAGGCAACTAATGGAATGAATTGATGATGGAGAATCATAATTAATTCTTTGAAATCAGGTTTCAAGGAAATAAATAATTAAATCAATAAATAAATGTTTATATATATATATATATATATATATATATATATATATAGATAATTTCCTGATTGCATTGATTTAATTTGAAAAAAAAAGGAACCAAAATTGTTGGAATTGAGAACCTCTAATATATTCATAATTATTTTCTCAAATAATATTTTAATATTTTTATTTTTTATTGATTATTTATATTTTAAAATACGTTAATATATATATATATATATTATAGCTTAGTATGTAATAAAAACAAAATAAATAAGTTTTTATTGTGAAGCTTACAATGGTATAAAATATATATTAAAATTTTAATATTAATCTTAAAATTATAGATATTTGTATTATTAAAATACAAAAAAATAGGTAGAAGTGATTTTAAGTAAGTAGAAATAAATAGAATCATGTTAATTAAATAACTATACGTATTAAAAATATCAAAATAATTTTTTTAGAACATTTTCATACATCTATATATAAATACCGCATAGCTAAACAACTTTGTTTAGAAGTTGTTTACTTTTTGAATATTGCTATCAAACAATTTATATATTATAAGCTTTTGCCACAAGTCTCATAGTTCAAAAAAACTTTTTATATATGAAAGGATAAAATTCACCTTTCAATCCAAATTACAAGATGGCATCAATTAAGAATTGTTTGTAATTGATAGTATGAAGTAAAATAAGCAATTAACAAGAATAAAAGAAGAATAAATATAAAATAAGTAAAAAAATATATTCAAGCAAATATACAATTCAAAATATGGTCACAATAAAAAGTAAAAATTAAAAAATAAAACACATATTTTTACAAAATTATTTTTATTATCTTTTTAATGACATAAGAAATATGTAAATTCAATTTACTATCAGTAAGTTATGAAGGTTTAAAGATACTAAGTAATTAATTAAAATTTTTAAATAAAAATATTTTATTTCAAAAATAACATGCTTGAAGGTCAAAGATTTGAGCTTCATTAAGGCTCATATGTAGTATATGAGGGTTTTTGAAAAAATCTTGAGGCCTTAGTCTTATCTTCCTATCTACATCTAAGTTGCTACAATTCATATGAGACATATATACTTTCTTTTCTACAAGAACTAGATTAGTTTCTAGTCTTCTTATTTTCTATTTGTAGAACTCATATTTTTGCATTTTTGACTTCATCATGGTATTTAAAAATATTCAAATAACTTAAGAACTTATGAAGGATATAAATTAAAAAAAAAAAAACCAATATACTCTTGTATCACTCTAAAAGGCTAGAAAATCACTCAAAGATGGTAATATATTGAATTAGAATAGCTATTGCAAAAGACAAGAAGACTAGAAATTCTTGAAATAAGACTAAAAATTAAAAAGGCTTTGATAAGAGTGAGGAAGGCTATACTCTTGTGTACATATATTCTCTAATGAAGAGCTACATGGTAATATTGTATAGGACTTCCAACATGTGATGACTTTGCTAGACACATATCTTAACTTGTAAGATAAGTTATCTATATATGCGCCATATAATTACCTTGTTCCACAAAATATTAATATATTTGATACATGTCTAATTTGTTGATCAAATTTTTAGCCTATTAATTAAATAAAAATATATATGAAATCAAAGCAGTATCTATAAAGCTATCTAAAAAGCTTTTCTAGAAGATATTATGAAATTAATCTACTTTTATCCACTTCTATCCAATCATATAGAAAATTATTGAAATAAATATATATGTCTATGATATTACCATCTCTTCTAAAAACAAGTTCTACAAAGAGAGGTCATCAAATTTCATGGATCTTGCTATTGTTTATGTTATTTTTGATGAATATCATCAATAAAAAGCTTCAAATATCAAGGACATGAATCTCAAAGAAAGAAATCCTTATTACATTCTTCTGTTATTCAAAAGAACTAAAAAGTCACTTAAAGTTGATATAGTATTAAACTAGAATGGCTCTTGGCAAAGATAAAAAGACTAAAAAGTCTTGAAATAAGAGTAAAGACTAGAAAGTTATTCATAAGAGTAAAGAAAGCTTCATTCTTGCTGTGATATATACTTTTAGCTAGAAGTTATATGATTATATCCTATAAGACTTCCAAAACATGTTGATTTTGTAAGATACATATCTTAACTTATCAAGTAAATTTATATATATATATATATATATATATATATATATATATATGCCATATAATTAACTTATTTCATAAGCTACCAATATATGGTTAATTTGTTGACCAAGTTTCTAACCTATCAATCAATTACAAATACATGTAAAGTCAAAGTAGCATCTATAAAGCTTTTAAGATGCTTCTTTAAAAATATTATAAAACAAATCTATTTTTATTTACTTCTACTTAATCATATAGGTAAATATTAAAATAAATGTGTATGTCAATGATATTATTCCTTTTTTTAGAGATGAGTTCTATAAAGAGTTGTCATCATATATTGAAAAAATCTATGATAGGACAAATTTGATCTTTGTTTTCTTTGAAGATGATTGATAGGTCTTCTCAGCCATCAATAATGTCACATATTATGGCAAAAAGACCATCTTTTTATTTAGTCATTCTTGAGGCCTTCATAACTTCTTTCAAATAAAATATTTGAAATATTTTTAGGAGTTGTTCTTACCTTTAATAAAATTATTAAACATTGGGAATCTCTTTGAAGGTCATGATATCAAACATATTCTATTTTGCCATCTATTTGAAGAAGGATATGTTGTTCTTGAGGATCTTCATCTCCATTACATTATCTTAAAGGTTGTGGCAATTATAATGTCTTATCTAATAAGTCAGAAAATAAAAGCTCTTGAGTTGAATCTGCTAGTTATTGATTCTCTATCTCTTTAATGTCACAAATAGACAAAAGCTACAAACAAAGGTAGAAGGTAGACTACTATTTTTTTTATCTTATTTCTTTTATAGTAAAGATTTATTATTCTTTATCTTAGTTTTGATAGATGTTATTGATAAAAAGTCTCAATTCTCTTTAGTGTATTTGTAAGATTTTTTGTAGGCTTCTACATGCATTCACTAATATCTTATTTGCACAAATAAACAAGATATTTCAACCTAATTTGATACCGCCTTGAATCTAAGACTTCTTCTACCTTGAACTTTTAATTATTATCTACTTCTATAAGATGAGGTGGCATTTGTCTTATTCTTAAGATATTTACTATCTTATATGATTCAAGAAGAAATATATGAAAGATATGGTGGATCCTAATAGACTATGATAGATATAATTAATAAATAACATAATTGGATTATTTACAAATAGAAAAAAGTCCAAGCCTATGATAGTTCGATTTGTTGTAAAGATGAGTAGTCTTGATATTATAACAAAGTAACTATATCTTGTCACTTACGTTGAATTGTGGTTGTTCTTTATGATAGACATTTGTATTGATCTTTTGTAGTTCTTGAGCTACTTTTAATTACTCCTTCATTATTGCATGTAACTCTCACAAATGATTTGTCAAATCTTTTATTGTAAGATTATCAATTTTTGAAAAGTCAAAAGTATCAAGTTGTAGATGATAACCATTATTAGTAAAAAAAAATATGATTATTAAGTAGAAGAGTGTACTAAATTATTATATGCAAACTCTGCTAATGGCAAAAGAGTTGTCCAATCATCTTGATGATAATTGATAGTATACCTCAAATATTAATCCAGAATTTGATTTACTTGTTCTCTTTATCTATTAGTTTGATGATGAAAAGCTAAAGAGAGCTTTATATCCACCTTTAAAATCTTGAAAAGGATTCTCTAAAATCTTGATATAAATTGAGTCCCTCTATTTGATATAATATCCTTGAATAATCCATGATAGCAATAGATGTTGTTAAAAAAAAACTTAGCCATTCTTTTACTCATGATATATTTTGTATATGATATAAAATATGCCATCTTAACAAAATAATCTACTATTATAAATATAAAATCATACAAATTTGAGATTGAAAGATCCATAATAAAATCCATAGAAACGAAAGACCATAGTTGTTTTCGAATAGGTAATGGTTGAAGAATTCCATAAGATCAATGGCAAGGAATTTTGGAACTTGAAAAAATATCACATGATTGTATAAAGTCTTTGACTATCTTCTATATTTGAGGCTACCAAAAATCTCTCAATATTAGTTCTAAAATCTTATTATATTTAAAATTTCAAATTGTTAGAAAGTCATGATTAACTTAAAGAATACGCAATCACATCTCACCTTTCAGAATGTATAATCATCTATCAAAATAAAGTAGGTTGTTCTTGAACTTAAACTTGGAAGTATCATGAGATTTAGAAGAATTATTATTATTATTGTTAAAGTAAAAGTAGAAAATATTACCTTGTATAGGATATTATCTTAGGTAAGTTGCTAGTGGTCAAAGGTTTGACTCTTGGTATATGGTAAGGGCATCCAATGGATTTAGGACGAAGTCATGGACCAAGAGTCAAAGTCAAAAGGATAAAGTATTAACAAGGGAATATCCAAAGACTAAGTATGAGTCATTAGTGTGTGTCATAGGATACCTTCAAAGTTCGTGAGATACCAAAGGATCCTAAGAGCATGTGTATAAGACGTAAGAATAATTAATATTAGACATAAGATACTCTTGGGACT